TTCTCTTATATAGCCAGGTACAGTTATCCAAATTAGGAAATTTATTGTGTGTTTTTTTTAATATATCTTATTGACTTTTTACAGAGAGGAAGGGGGAGAGATAGAGAGTTAGGAACATCGATGGGAGAGAAACATCGATCAGCTGCCTCCTGCATACTCCCTACTGGAGATGTGCCCGCAACCAAGGTACATGCCCTTGACTGGATTCGAACCTGGGACCTTTTAGTCCACAGGCCGACGCTCTATCCACTGAGCCAAACTGGTTACGGCCAGGAAATTTGTTGTTGATACAGTAGTGTAGGGCATGCTTTTAAAATTTTTCTCTTATCAAGTAATTGTGACCTTGTTTCATTGTGGCAGGAGAGTGGTCTGGTAGTTGGGGGACCTGGGTTCTAATTTGGCCGTAAGACCAGGCATGTGACATTGGTCATTTCACTTCTCTGGATATTAGTTGACCTCTTTAACCTATCGGACCGAGTACATGGTCCTAAGTGGTAATGTGAAGAAAAGATTTGCCACTAGTGTGGCCAAACCAACATTGGAAGAAATATAATGTTTTCTTGTAAGGCATGGGATCTTTTTAAAATATATATATATATTTTTATTGATTTCAGAGAGGAAGGGAGAGAGAGAGAGAGAAAGAGAAAGAAAGGAACATCAATGATGAGAGAGAATCATCGATCAGCTGCCTCCTGCATGCCTCCTACTAGGGGTTAAGCCCGAAACCTGAGCATGTGTCCTGACTGGGAATCAAACCGTGACCCCCTGGTTCGTAACCACTGAGCCATACCTGCCGGGCTAAAACAATATTCTTTATGCTCTGTGTTTTCTAGTTTACTGTTGGTTTTTTTAAAAAAAAATTTATAATGGAGTTCATCCATTGAGTGATTTTTTTTAAACTTGAGAGACTATGAAGGATATTAACTGTGGTAGGTGATGCGAGTTATTCAGAGAAGGCTTTAATATTATTTGCTCATTCTTTTTTTAAAAAAATATATTTTATTGATTTTTTTACAGAGAGGAAGGGAGAGGGATAGAGAATTAGAAACATTGATGAGAGACAAACATTGATCAGTTGCCTCCTGCACACTCCCCACTGGGGATGTGCCCGCAACCAAGGTATATGCCCTTGACCGGAATCAAACCTGGGACCCTTGAGTCCGCATGCTGACTGACGCTCTAGCCACTGAGCCAAACCAGTCAAGGCTATTTACTCATTCTTGATCACCAGAATCATCGTTGGTGGAGAGAAGCTTACAAAAATATTTATGTAAAAATGTTGTTCCTGGGCTTTGTAAAGATTCTCTGAAAGAATGAAATGCATTAGAATTTTTTTAAAAAAATATATTTTTATTGATTTCAGAGAGGAAGGGAGAGGGAGAGAGAGAGATAGAAACATCAGTGTTGAGAGAGAATCATTGATTGACTGCCTCTTGCATGCCCCCTGATAGGGACTGAGCCTGCAACCCAGGTATGTCCCCTTGACTGGAATTGAACCCGGGACCCTTCAGTCCAAAGGCCAATGCTCTGTCCACTGAGCTAAACCAGTGAGGGCTAGAATCTTGCTTTCAAACTAGAAAATCATACGTGGTAAAAGATTTCTGTAATTAAGAACAAATCTCAGTTTACTGTTATTGATAAATTTGAGGCAAATAGGCTACTAGGTGTACCAGTTAATAATGCGGGTTTTTTTAATAGATGGAGTTACACATATGTTGATATATATGCGATTTGATATGTATGCTATTTTGTATTGACAACAAACTTCAAAACTTCATGTGTCAAATTTGCTGAAGGTGTTAATATCTTAGATATTTTTACGCCTACTGGTAAAAATGTCAAATTTCATGCCCCCCAAAAAGAGCATTTGTGGGAAGTTTTAATTCATTATTTTGAAGAAAAAGTTATTGTATACTTTGGGAAGCTTATGGTGAACGTGCTCCATCTCAAGATACTTGTGAACACTGGTTTAAACGCTTTAAAATTGATGATTTCGATGTGGAAGACAGAACGTCTAGGTCAACTGAAAAAGTTTGAAGACCAACAATTACAAGCACCATTGGATGAAGATACATGTCAAACTCAAACTTTTTTCGATAGATGGAGTTACACATATGTTGATATATATGTGATTTGATAGGTATGCTATTTTGTTTTATTGAAAGCAAGCTTCAAAACTTCATGTGTCAAATTTGCTGAAGGTGTTAATATCTTAGATATTTTTACGCCTACTGGTAAAAATGTCAAATTTCATGCCCCCAAAAAAGAGCATTTGTGGGAAGTTTTAATTCATTATTTTGAAGAAAAAGTTATTGTATACTTTGGGAAGCTTATGGTGAACGTGCTCCATCTCAAGATACTTGTGAACACTGGTTTAAATGCTTTAAAATTGATGATTTCGATGTGGAAGACAAAGAACGTCTAGGTCAACTGAAAAAGTTTGAAGACCAACAATTACAAGCACCATTGGATGAAGATACATGTCAAACTCAAACTCTTACACCACAGACTTTAACATTGGCTCTTTAGGCTCTACTGTGGTAGATAGACTGAAATACTGGGATAAGTAAGCTTCTCCTTTCACTGGTAGAGGCAAAGTCAACTACCTTTGAGAGCAAGCACATGTGCATGCTCATACTCACTTGTTTACTCACTCTCTCATTGGTTACCACCATACAGTAAGTAACCCCAATGAACAACTCTGGACAGTGGACTTGATTAGGTAGCCTCTGAGTTGAGAGGTCTTTCTGAGTTGCAGAAAGGTTAAATGTTGCTCAGCAAACAATTTCCAATTGTTTACAAGCAATGGGAAAGATTTTAAAGAAAGGAAAATGGGTGCCACATCAACTGAACAAAAGACAAATGGAAAACCAAAAAGTCATCAGTAAGATGTTGCTTCAGCAGCACCAAAGAAAGACTTTTTTGCGTCGAATTGTGACTGGCGATGAGAAGTGGATTTATTTTGAGAATCCCCAAATGCACAAAATCATGGGTTGATCCAGGTCACCCATCAACATCACCTGCAAGGCCAAAATTGTTTCGGAAAGAAGACAGTGCTCTGCGTTTGGTGGGATCCGAAAGGTGTGGTGTATGATGAGCTTCTAAAACAGGTGAAACCATTAATACTGATCGCTACCGACAACAAATAATCAATTTGAACCACACTTAGATCGTGAAACAACCAGAATGTGCCAGAAGACATGGCAAAATAATTTTGCTTCATCCTTCAGATTACCACTTGTTCTGATCAATGGCACACGCACTTTCTGAGCAGCACTTCAAAACGTACAAAGAAGTGGAAAATTGGGTCTCTGAATGGTTTTCCTCAAAACAAGAAAAGTTCTATTGGGATGGTATCCACAAATTACCTGAAAGATGGGGGAAATGTGTAGCTAGCGATGGATGTTACTTTGAATAAAGCACTTCTGATGTGTCTCCTGAAATTATCGTGTTTTCTTTAATTACAAAATCCGTCATTATTTACCGGTACACCTAGTATATATAAGTGGGACTGAAAATTTTCCTTACACCACAGACTTTAACATTGGCTCTTTAGGCTCTACTGTGGTAGATAGACTGAAATACTGGGATAAGTAAGCTTCTCCTTTCACTGGTAGAGGCAAAGTCAACTACCTTTTGAGAGCAAGCACATGTGCATGCTCATACTCACTTGTTTACTCACTCTCTCATTGGTTACCACCATACAGTAAGTAACCCCAATGAACAACTCTGGACAGTGGACTTGACTAGGTAGCCTCTGTTGAGAAGTC